CGCCGGGCCTGCCGGGAGCCGCTTCTGTCGGAGACAGCCCGACACACACGTGCGTCATGTACAACTGAAACAGCACAAACAGACCCATGCAGTGCTTATGCTTCTTTTATTATTCCAGCAACAGGACCCACAACATACATCCCGGTGTAAGGAAAGCGGTTACATCTCTGTCTTTGGTATTATACAGGTAAACTACGGTGTTTAAGAAAATATTAATATGATAAACATAGCACAGTAGCAGAAAAAAAACCCTGAAATTAAGACTTTCTCCTTCAAATAGTCCATAGGCACCATGTGCCCTTTTATTTCATTCTTTTTTAAGTGACCAGAACCAGGGGAAAGTGAATACACCCAAGTGTCCGGAGTGAAGAAATAAAGGTACTCACCCCAAATACTACCCAGGGACATCTCTGATAACAGCATACTTTCATTCCCACTCGTGCCTAAGTGCGGCTCCAGCTGTTAGCCAAAAACCCCCATCTATGCAGGATGTTCAGCAATACCTGGAACAGGCTGCCAAAAACTCCTTTCAGCTCCAGGCAATGCATCAAGGCACTCAATGCAGGAGACTGGAAGGTAAAAGGCAAGGGCAGCTACAAATGTGCTCCAGCCTTGTCACAAGCAAAGGTAACAATCCCATGGCTCTCACTGCCTGACTCTGCCTGCTGACACCAAAAGTGAACTCAAGCACAGAAAAAGCACTCACAGAGCAAGTGGGATGGTTCTTGTGTCAGCAAGAACCTGGAGACCTCAGCACACAGGGACAGGAGGGGCTGGACATGGCACGTGCTCTGTTTGCCTAAGCAGATCTGTTATTCCTGCCAAGCCCAAGATCAAGATTACAGAAGAAGATCAGGCACAGCTGAAAGAGACAATTAGTGCAGATTAAGCCACCTTGTTCTAGGGAAATATAAATTTATTGTCTGAAGGCACCTATGCTGCCTCCTTAGGGACAGCAAAATCTGCCACCGAACAAAATGCTGGAAGTCTTGTTGTGCCGGATGAAGAAGAGGAAGGGATGATCAGCAATGAATTCTGGAATGGACATTATTATACCAGAACTCTCACAAATTAGCATAGCTGTGGCAGCAGCTGCTTCAGTGCCTTCTTCATTGACTTCCACAAAGGCTTTGTGAACCACTTCAGAGAGCACCAGCTCATTACCAGGAGAGATGACAGGTGACATTCCTGAAAAGTCTGCCTTCCCCAAATCAAATGCATCAGGCATTCCCATGCTTCTTAAAATAGGTCTCAGATCATAATCTTCTTCCAGTTTAAATCTGGGTAAATACACCATCACCTCTGTAGAATTCATCATTTCTGGACTGATCCAACCCATCAGCTTCTCATGCATAAGTTCTCTTTCCAGCTGAAAAAAAATTCCAAATTTACTTAATTACAATGAGAAATGAGATCACATTACATAGCCAAANATTTTGAGCATCTACAACTACAGCAACAGCACAGGTTTTGGAGAAATTTTTATAAAGTACATGGAAACAAGATCTTACTTTATACTCCTCTCCTACTTTGCAAAGGAAGCAAACATCCAAACCAAAATCACTGGTCTTGCACTCAATATAGTTACATCCTACATAAAACACAAGCCAAGAGGTATTTTCTACATGAGCAAATTTTTAAAAAGGAATAAATCAAATTGCAGTTACCCGTTTGAAATTTAGATAGCTGGATATTTAATATATCTTTTATATGCTTGGCTTCCTTTTCAGAACATGTATCATCTGATAATAAACCCAGGCAAGGAAGGAAAAGAAAATAATTTATGTAGCCACCTATGGATCAAGTAAAAAAAATTCCATGTACATTCAAATTACATATTAAAGAAGATCGCTCTCAAAAATCACAAAGAAACTTGCACACACTAAATCCAGAAATTTCTTCATTTGTTACTGAACAAAGCTCACACTAAAAAGTCACAGAAAACAGGTCCAGTTTACACACACACAGCCCAGAGGAAGAGCTCTGCTCTCTCACACCACAGTGACAATCACAGTTTAGCACAAGTACATGTCACAGACTGGAACACACATCTCTTTCTCAAATGATCCCACCAAATGCAATCCAGTGACTTTATTTTGACCTACCTTACGAATCTGGGCTTCAGTGCCACCTCTTGAACCCAGCAAAACCATAGACAAAGCAGAAGAAATACTAAATGGTGAAAAAAACACATTCTGCCCACTTTTCTTCTCACACAGCTTTCTTAACAGGTCCACAGCAAAAGTGCTGTTTGCTGCACAGAGGCTTTCCATGCTTCCAAGCCTGGGACATCAAACACAGAATGAGAACGATTCAAATTTATTTAAATACAAATCAGTTATTTCTACCAGCTAAACTTCCCAGCATAAACTAGGCAGCAAAGGCTGGAAAATTATCAGCTCAATGGAGAATGATGTGGTGCCACAAGCACCTGAAATTGCATACTACAGATTTGAATTACTTTATCAGTTTAGTGCCTGCTTCTAAATTTCAATCCAATAACTACACAGTGTGCCATCTTTGGAGGTGATGAGGCACAACACTATTATCATCAGACCATACAGAAGGAAGTTTCTCTTGACTTCACACAGCAAATAATTTCCATTTATTGGACCACCAGAGTCAAAGTAGGAATTCAGAACAGCAGAATTACCAACTCTTACCTTCTCTAAGTCTGCAGACCTTCAGTGGTAGCTGCAGCTTGCTCCTGTGTATGCACGCTGGGTTTTAAACCTGCCATCCAGGCTGGGAAAAGTCAGCAGAAGGACTTTGCCTAAAAGTAAGAAAACTTGCAAGAATTTAATTGTCACTTAAACATTCTGTAACGAAAAATAAGAAAAAAACCCCACAAACAAACTGAAAAAAAGCACAAAAAGAAATCCCAAACAAACTGAAATCTCCTACCATACTAAGTAAATATAAATCACATTATGACAGGAGGCTCTGCACATTACCGACAACTTCACTTATCGC